TACACTACAATATAATATACAAGAAGCTTGGTCTCACCACTTCACTGTTGATAAAATGTGTTATCTCTTTGGTTAGATTGTCTTCATTCTCAATCTGCAGCAGGTGAAGGATCCTGAGACCAGCTCTTGATGCTCGTTCCTGCAGGACCAGGGAGGCGTGGTTACAGCTGGACACCACATTCACCCCTATAAGGCCACCACCTAATCGGACTGCAGCAGAGAGCACTGCCTGAAAGTTAACAAAAAGAAAAATATTTAATTCTTCAACTTCTTTTATGTATCTATCAAGTCAGTCATTTCTCACATTTAGAAACAAGAAACCAACTGTGAATCTTCTCCAAATATATACAGTAGAGTAAGTTAACAACATAACACAGGATATATGATTGTCTTAGGTCTGAAGAAAAAAACTAGTATACAGAACAGTATAATACATTTAAGGTTTTCATTTAGTTACAAACAGAAACAAACTTTTTACCTATCTGGAAATACCTTTTACACACAATACAGTACAGCACAGTAGTACAATACTGTACAGTAGTACAGTATTTGTATATTTGTGAGATATTATTGGGTAGAGTACTGGTGATATGAAGAAAATACAGGTTCTGTACAGTTTAATTTTTCCTCCCCATAGCACAACTTGTACCAACCTGTAACTGATCAGTGAGGTGAGGTGCCGTGGTGAAGACATTATCGGCAGGTATAATGGTGTGGGCCGCTCGAGCATCAGTGATGAGGATGGGAGTGTTGAAAGCATGTAAAGGTGTAGCTGTACCTGATACTACTCTTGCTGACCCTAGAGCGACCACACCTGTGGCAGAGAAGAGTAGTTGGGTCAGTCACCTGATGATTAGACACCCCAAACATTTCTCCTGATGATTAGACACCCCAAACTATTTCTCCTGATGATTATGCACTCTAATACTACTGTACCTGGGGATTAAGTTACCTAGGTTAGATTAGGTTGGGTTTTAACAATAACTGATATTCAGTCAAATTGTGACCAAGGGCAGCTGACAAAGCCATGAGATGTTTGTTTCCAGTAGTGTCCTTAAGCCAGCAGCATCTGGTGTTCTTAGGGCCAGGCGGTCACCCATCCAAGTACTAACCAGAGCCAACGTGCTTAACATTGCTGATTGGACAAGAAGCAGTGTTTCCAATGTGGTTAGGTGAAATAAGCTAGGGCATAGGTCGGCAACCCCTGGCACACAAGAGGGTTGACCATGGTACATCAAGTGATTTTAAAAAACATTACAAAATCGAAAAATAATAGCGCCATTTCAAATAAACAAACTGTGACATGAGCTTGAGCTAGAACTAATGCAGTCAGTACCCGTCAGCTCAGCTGTGGCCTATATCATGTCAGACCCAGTGTTGAGATTTTACCTACACTTAAAATACGTTGCTTGCCTTCTGTTCTTTTTTTCGGATATATTCTATATCTAAGAAATTATAGTATAATTATACGTTTTATTATTTTGAATATGTATTTACATCACTTTTATTGAATTTACACAATCATCTTTCTATTAGTATTCAATCTACTGGATTTTTTACTCGTGAGAGTTTCTATTTCTAAGTCACTCAGACTGTCAGGCACGGTCAGTGTACTTTCAGCAGCGGTGACAGAAGCTACTCCGAATTAAGTAGCCACAATGGCAGCTGCTAAGAAAGCCAAATTAGACGTTCCCTCATTTAAACCCTTTTGGACAAAAGACTTTCGATTTATTCTTCAGAATGGTCGAGCTGTGTGTGCTTTGTGTTGAAAGAATGTTGTTTGTCGGACATCAAGTGTAAAGAAACATTATGAAATGAAGCATGAGAAGACATTTAAGGGCAATGTAGACAAGGCTGAAGCAATTAAGAAGGCAGTATCTCGCTATGAAAAACAAAGCAGCGTTATGAAGAATCTGAGTGCAAACAAAGATCATGCAACTGAGGCCAGCTACAAAGTTTTTTTTGCATATTGCTAAACATGGAAAACCATTTATTGATAGGGATTATATAAAGGAGACCTTTCTCAACAGCTCTCAAATTTTATTTAGTGATTTACCAAACAAACAAACAATCATCTAAAGGATAAAAGACATGCCTGTTGCAGCCAGGACTGTAGAGAGGCACCTATCAGACATGGCTGCAAATATAAGAGAACAGCAAACTGTTGCATAAAAAAGGCAACTGTGTTCAGTATTGCTGTTGATGAGAATGTTGATATAAATGACATACAGTACCATGTTTGGCTATTGTCGCCAGGTACAGTGACATGGAGGTACACAAGGAGCTGTGCTGCCTAAGACCTATACATGGTACTATCCAGGAAGATGACATTGTTAAAACGTTCATTGATCATTTTGAGGAGAGAGGAGTTGATATTAAAAAAATATTTGCAGTTACAATGGATGGTGCTCCTGCTATGGTAGAAAAACACAGGGGATTTGCCAAGCAAATTGAGGATAAAATTGGACACCCCCATCCTGAAGTTACACTGCATTAATCTTCAAGAAAATCTTTGTGCCAGAATTTCAAACTCTGATCTCAATAAAGTAATGGCCACTGTGACAAAAATTTTGATTTTTTTGGGTTGCACGATCTGCTCTTACACACGGACAATTTCAGTCTTTTCTGCAACAGTACTTCAAGCACTTGAAGGGGGTGGTCAGCACATCATCCTGTGAACATTACAGAGATTGCAGTGTACATGCAAGAGCTGAAAGCAGAGTTCTCTGTCAGCTTTCAAGATTCCAGCACACTGGAAATAGAGGACATGGAGATGCAGCTGATCAATTTTAAGTAATCTTCATTATAGGCAGTAAACTTCACGGAACTATGTAAATCACTTTAAACAGCTGTGAGTGATCATGAGACCTCCATCCTAGCTGCTGGGCATCCCTTCCAGAGAAATTTGATTGCTTGAAGAAGGTTACGTTTGCACTACTTTCAACCTTTGGATCAACATATCTATGTGAGCAGATATTTTCACACATGAAGAACATCCTCAATCATCATCACAGTCGACTTACAGCTGATCAATCTGAGGGGTGTGTGCAACTTAAGGTGTCCAGATACATATATTCCCGACATAGCAACGCTGAGCAAAGGGAAGCAGGGACAGGGATCACACTAAAATGGTGAGAGCATTTTATAGTATTTGATTACATATCTTACCATTCACATGTACTTGTGTGTATGTATTTCAAATATGTATGAAAGCATTATTTATCAATATTGTATACACATGACAATAATTTGCAAATTGAAAATTATAGTCAGCACGCAGGGCAGTAGAAATGTTATAAACTGGCACAGTGTGTTCAAAAGGTTGCCAACCCCTGGGCTAGGGTGTCTATTCTTCATGTGATTCAAGACTAGTTACACTGTACAGTTCTTTAGTTTGGAAATTTATATCTGAATAATAATGGAAATTCCATGTCTGTTTCATATTTGCCTACAGTAATAGAGTACTGTATTGTACTGCAGTGTACTGTACAATACTGTAGTACAGTCAAATAATTCTGATGATGTTGGTAGAGAACTTTGATGTGATGCCAATCATTTTAACTTTCCTCTATTGAAAAGAAATAATGATTTCAGTATACTGTAATACATGACACAAAACATGTCATTATATACATACACATTTACAATACATATTCAGTAAAATCATCACACAAGTTTATATTGATTCAACATGTGTTCTATACAGACCATGCTGGTAAATGCTGTACATTAACTGTGCTAGTACAGTATACCAAGAAATGAAGACTAAGGCTATGTCCCATATGCGAGCGTCCTGCAGCATCGAGGGACCACATGAGTGTAGCGGACAAACATATGTGTTTTCTTTGATGTGTCCCATGTAGACACACAAGGGTTGGTGAGTGACCAGGAAGCAGGAACTAGATGCCGCGACCTGGAGCAGCAATAAATTATTTTGATCGTCTCTTCCTCCCATTCTACATCAAAACTAAAGAAGGTTATACATTCATTTTCCACTGCTAACAGCTTGATCTTTTCAAGAAATAGATCCTTGTAGACTATTAAAATAGCTGCAAAATGTTTATCTTACATTCTTTGCAGAAGAATGTGAAGTATTGTTTATTCCAGAGGGTGCTGTGTTATTTTTACCTGTACATTCTTGAATTGCTTATGACTTTGCATCCAGACCAATCTATGTCAATGATAATATTATGGAAAGGTGGAGCACACTTTACAATGTCAACAGCAATATCTACCTTTGTTTCAATAGCCTTATTTAAAATTCTGAATTTACTTGTACAAATATTAAATGCACACCCTACAACACGCCTGGCACGTGACAATCTGTAATTATTCTTTTTTCTTTGTTCAGAGCATTCCTAGGATAGGGTTTCAACAAATATACATAGAGTGGGTAAGCCTCGCCCCCATTCAGAATACATTCCGGTGTACTCATGAAACTTCTTTGGATCTTAATGAAGTTCCTTGTAGAGATGGTGAAATTTGGCTACTTCCAACCTCCTTGATATATGGGATCTTTTTTCCTGGGTACCTCTGCAGGTAACACACGTTGAAAAACATTATTTTCTAAAAGTACCAGTAAACATCTGCGCAGCATAGACGGCATGTTTACCCTGGGGGGTAGTTACACAGATTCTGACCAGGACAAAGAGGAGGCGTTGAACAGTTTCGTTTCCTCGGTGTTCATAAGGGAGGATGTGAACAATCTTCCTACACTTGAGGACAGATGGTTTGACACAGAACTGACCCACATTGTGTTCTCAGAAGAGGTTATAAGAAATACATTGTCAAAGCTAAAGGTTCATAAGAGCCCCGGCCCTGACTTGGTGCATCCCAGAATGTTAAGCGAGTTGTGCAACAAGCTAGCTGAGCCCCTGAAGATCCTGTTCTGTAAATGCCTGGATGAGCAAAAGATCCCCAGTGATTGGAAAATTGCTTATGCGAGTCCTATTTTCAAGAAGAGTAATTGTCACTCCACGAATAATTATAGACCAGTGAGTCTGACCAGCATAGTATGTAAAGTACTTGAGAGCATTATAAGAGATGCCATGATAGAACATGTACTACAAAACAACCTTGAAAAGGATTGCCAACACTGTTTTATGCTGGGACGTTCCTGCTTAACACAATTACTCAAGGTACTGGATGTTTGGACCCAAATTCTGGAACAGGATGGTAATATCGACAATATATACCTAAATTTTGCCAAGGTTTTCGACAGCGTACCCCATGAAAGGGTGAAATTTAAACTGGAAGGACATGGGATTCGGGGAAGTGTCCTAGCATGGATCAGAAACTTTCTCAATGATCGCAAGCTGTGTGAGGTGAGTAATGGCACGAAATCATCATGTGTACCCGTAACAAGCGGGTACCACAAGGCAGTATATTGGGCCAGCTGTTGTTTGTTTGCTTCATAAATGACATGCCAGAAGCTGTACGTTCCTACATACAAATGTTTGCAGACGATGCCAAGTTATTTAGGGAAATTAAGAACCAAGCAGACTGTGAAGAGCTGCAGAAGGATCTCTGTGAGCTTCAAAAATGGTCGAAGAAATGGCAGCTAAAATTCAATGTCACTAAGTGTAAGAGGATGCACTTGAGAAGTACCAACGGTAAGGAGGCGTATCGTCCCAACGGAAGTAGAAACTGCATTAATTGAGACTGAATGTGAAAAGGACCAAGGTGTGTATGTTGACAATGAACTGAAGTTCTCGGGCCATTGCGAGAAGAAGGTAAATCAAGCAACTAAATTATTAGGTCTTATAAGAAGGTCGTTCAGATATCTAGACGGTCGATCCCTTGTAACGATCTTTAAGAACTAGGTGCTTCCCCACCTGGAGTGCTGTCACCCCATCTGGTCCCTAAGATATGCTAGGGACTGTCAGTTGATTGAAAATGTCCAAAGGTGGGCCATCAGACTGGTGCCTGCACTTTGGCACCTCAGCTACCCAGAGAGATTAGAGCACCTGCATTTGCCTAGTTTACCGGTATACTACAGACGGGCAAGGAGGGACCTAACTGAGGTGTATAAACATCTCAAAGGGCACTACTCAGTCGAGTGTCCTTACCTGGAGTTGACAGACACTCACCCCACAAAGGGTCACAGCTCAAGATTGAAGAAGCTTCAAGTCCAGAAAACTGCGAGGATAAACTTTTTCGGAGTGAGAGTTGTGAACTCGTGGAACAACCTGCCAGAGAGTGTTGGGACAGCACAAAGTGTGAGCTCTTTTAAGACCAGACTTGACCAACACTGGAGCAGGTTTAGGTACATTCAGGAGCCGGTGCATGCCCAGTACTTGTCAACAGTGCGTTACAGAGACGTGACCGATCGCCCAAGCGACTAACGAGCCGATCAGTGGTGAAGAGGATAAAAGTAAAGACCCTGGCAGGTGGGACATAGGTCGCTTTGCAAAGTAGGTAGCATGTTTATGCCCTGGTCGCTCGATGCCGCAGGTTGCTCGCACATGGGACATAGCCTAGGAATGCAGCGTCCATACCAAGTAGAGGTGGTTCTGGTGGTTGGGTGTCCTGGAGAAGTCTTATTGTCTGCCGCAGAGCCATGTCCGTGTCCCCACAAGCATCATATACTCGAACACCTGCAAAAACACTGACACATAATAACAAGAACAGCAACAAAACTGAAAAGTATACAAGCTTGAAGTCACTTGGAAGAAAGAAATAACAAATGAATTGGTATGACAGACCAAAAATGAATGAATAATAAATAATTAGGCCAACAGCCGCAGTATTTTCCATTAAAACTAATTTTTTTCACAACAAACTGTTACAATCTTAAACTTGAAGTTGAAATTAAGTAAGATGAAAAGATAATATAAAAATTATGAGAAACTTAGTTACTCTAAAACATATCAAAATTTACAAAGAAAGGGAGAAAAATATGAGAAAATTGCAATTGAGAAGAACTTCTTGATAAACGTCTTACTTTGGGTGTCGGTTCCTGGTTAATAAAAACTGGAAATTACTTGTCTTACAGGGTAAATTTTTGGTTCTCAGAGAAAACAGGATGTGTGGCTGGTTGTGTTACCAGTGTTCAATATACTTAACTAGTTGTATTACAGGTGTTCAATGAACATACCTATTACAGTGCTACAGGTGTTCAATAGACATACTTATAGTTGTGTTACAGATGTTCAATGGGCATACCTAAAGTTGTGTTACAAGTGTTCAATATACATACCAATACTTTAGTTGCATTACAGGTGTTCAATAGACATACTGATAGTTGAAGTACAGGTGTTCGATGGATATACCTATAGTTGTGGTACAGGTGTCCAATGGACATACCTATAGTTGTGGTACAGGTGTTCAATGGACATACCTATAGTTGTGGTACAGGTGTTCAATGGACATACCTATAGTTGTGGTACAGGTGTTCAATGGACATACCTATAGTTGTGGTACAGGTGTTCAATGGACATACCTATAGTTGTGTTACAGGTGTTCGATGGATATACCTATAGTTGTGGTACAGGTGTTCAATGGACATACCTATAGTTGTGGTACAGGTGTTCAATGGACATACCTGTAGTTGTGTTACAGAAGTTCAATGGACATACCTATAGTTATGGGACAGGTGTTCAATGGACATACCTATAGTTGTGGTACAGGTGTTCGATGGATATACCTATAGTTGTGGTACAGGTGTTCAATGGACATACCTATAGTTATGGGACAGGTGTTCATTGGACATACCTATAGTTGTGTTACAGATGTTCAATGGACATACTAATAGTTGTGGTACAAGTGTTCATTGGACAAACCTATAGTTGTTACAGATTTTCACTGGACATATCTATAGTTGTGTTACAGGTGTTCAATACTTACCTATAATTGTGTTACAGGTGTTCAATACTTACCTATAGTTGTGTTACAGGTGTTCAATACTTACCTACAATTGTGTTACAGGTGTTCAATGGACATACCCATAGTTGTGTTACAGGTGTTCAATACTTACCCATAGTTGTGTTACAAGTGTTCAATAGACTTTCCTATAGTTGTGTTACAGGTGCTCAATAGACTTACCAATAGTTGTGTTACAGGTGTTCAATAGACTTACCTATAGTTGTGTTACAGGTGTTCAATAGACTTACCTATAGTTGTCTTACAGGTGTTCAATAGACTTACCTATAGTTATGTTACAGGTGTTCAATAGACTTACCTATAGTTATGTTACAGGTGTTCAATAGACTTACCTATAGTTGTTACAGGTGTTCAATACTTACCCATAGTTGTGTTACAAGTGTTCAATAGACTTTCCTATAGTTGTGTTACAGGTGTTCAATAGACTTTCCTATAGTTGTGTTACAGGTGTTCAATAGACTTTCCTATAGTTGTGTTACAGGTGTTCAATAGACTTACCTATAGTTGTGTTACAGGTGTCCAATAGACTTACCTATAGTTGTGTTACAGGTGTCCAATAGACTTACCTATAGTTGTTACAGGTGTTCAATACTTACCCATAGTTGTGTTACAAGTGCTCAATAGACTTACCTATAGTTGTGTTGTAAGTGTTCAATAGACTTACCTATAGTTGTGTTACAGGTGTTCAACAGACTTACCTATAGTTGTGTTACAGGTGTTCAATAGACTTACCTATAGTTGTGAAACAGGTGTTTAATAGACTTACCTATAGTTGTGTTACAAGTGTTCAATAGATTTTCCTATAGTTGTGTTACAGGTGTTCAATAGACTTTCCTATAGTTGTGTTACAGGTGTTCAATAGACTTACCTATAGTTGTGTTACAAGTGCTCAACAGACTTACCTATAGTTGTGTTACAGGTGTTCAACAGACTTACCTATAGTTGTGTTACAGGTGTTCAATAGACTTACCTATAGTTGTGTTAACAGGTTCAACAGACTTACCTATAGTTACAGGTGTTCAATACTTACCCATAGTTGTGTTACAAGTGTTCAATAGACTTACTCTATAGTTGTGTTGTAAGTGTTCAATAGACTTACCTATAGTTGTGTTACAGGTGTTCAACAGACTTACCTATAGTTGTTACAGGTGTTCACAGTGTGTACAATAGACTTACCTATAGTTGTGTTACAGGAGTTCAATAGACTTACCCATAGTTGTGTTACAGGTGTTCAATAGACTTACCTATAGTGTAATCATGTTGGGACTGGTTGTTGATGGTGTCCAGGGCCCACTCTGCCGCCCCCACCTGCTCCACGGCCCTTGTGTTCAGCCCCCCACAGCCCCCTGGTGACCCTCCGCGACCATGCAAGTCAGCCACCACACCTGAATTGAAATAAACTAATTAAATTATCTTGTCATTAAAAAACCTGGTTGCATCACATAAAGTTTAGACACCCCGGCTTATTTCACCTGAAGATTAGATACCCCAGCTTATTTTACCTGAAGATTAGATACCCCAGCTTATTTCACCTGAAGATTAGATACCCCAGCTTATTTTACCTGAAGATTAGATACCCCAGCTTATTTCACCTGAAGATTAGATACCCCAGCTTATTTCATCTGAAGATTAGATACCCCAGCTTATTTCACCTGAAGATTAGATACCCCAGCTTATTTCATCTGAAGATTAGATACCCCAGCTTATTTCACCTGAAGATTAAGTGATTTAACCATCCTAATGTTACCAGGGGGATTAGGTTAAGTTTTATAAGTTAGACTAGTGTTAGGGTGGTTAATATTCATGTGAGGTAAGTTGGGATGTCTTATCTTCATGTAAAATAAGTTGGGGTGTCTAATCTTCAGGTGAAATAAGTTGGGATGTCTAATCTTCAGGTGAAATGATCTAGGGGTATATATTCTTTAAGTGATCTAAATATATTCGACAACATTATTCAACAGCATTATATTAGATGAATCACAAATATTTTAAACAAACGCAACACGTGTGAGGAAGGCCCGAGTGACTCACCAATGACAACATCTCCAGGTAGTGTGAGCGAGGGAGGGTCCAGCGATGACGACACCCCTATGAGGCTCACCAGCACCAGCAGTTGTCTCTGTATAAAATAAATAATAACCATTTTAATGACTATCTGAATAAAGAACATGACGTAACTTTCCCGGATCACCTGAAGACTTGCTCCCTCTCCCAAGATTGTTTCACCAGAAGATTGACCACCTAAAACTAACCCTCCTGAGTATCATTAGAGTGGTTAATCTTCAGGTGAAATAAATTGGGGCGATATCTTCAGGCGGTCATCTTCCCCATCACCTGTTTAGTTCATCTATTGTTTAACTTACATTTATCAAAAAAATCAAAATACCCCGATATACCTACAGTCGGTCAATGTAAAGACAGATACGAAGAAATTATAGACATTGCAGGTACAGAATAACGTGTATACAATATACATCTCAAATGAATAGTCAATAAAGGACGACCTTCTCTGGAAATCCTGTAGAGACTAAATAGCCACATGTAAGATAATATGTTCTAAATTGTCCTTCATACGTGCTGCATTCAATCAGTCTAGGTGCCATTATTAAGTTTGGGACAAGGAAGATTGTTTGAGAGTTGGTGGTCAAAGCCATCTACCGGCAGACGTTTTCAAGCTGTCTGTAGTTTGGGGGTCTCAGTTTTCAATTTCATTCACCCATCTATGGTTTCTGCCTTCCTCTGGACAGTCTTCATCCCCCCCTACACTCACCATCTTCAACTTGTTATTTTAATCAAGTTTTCCCTTCTGATGAAATAACAAAAGTGGGATCACTTGAAGATAAGGTTAATTTAGTTTAATAAGGTTACGTTAAATCGGGGCAGGTTAGATTTGGTTATGTTAGGTTGATGTTAGGGTGGTTAATCTCCAGGTGTTCACAAGATAGGAGTAGGAAGTTAAGGGTGATCTCCTTCACACTTCCTGTCAGTGTCAACAGCCATGACTGCTGAAGTAATTTGCCAGTGAGTGGAGACAGGCCGGTCCCTCCCTCCCTGCCCACACTGCCTGGGAGCCGGCATGCCTGGCTGAATTCTGCGGGTAATCTTCACTCAGGCTGGACCTACAGTAACTGGGGGAGCAGACAACCTGGAGATGTGCTCGACGGTGCGCGCCACACTACTGTACTATAAAATTGTACAACAATTTTCTCTCATCCATCATGGCATTACGCTGGATAACCTGAAGATTAGACACCCCGGCTTATTTCGCCTGAAGATTAACCACCTTAACGCTGTCTAGAGGGTTAGATTAGGGTAGGGTGGGTTAGGTTAACGTTACGGTGGTCAATCTTCAGGTAAAATAAGCTGGAGTGTCTATTATTCAGGTGATCATTACACTTACATTGTCCTTTGGATACAATACACCGACTACTAAGGTGAAACAATAATTCAGTAGCGGTTATATGACGTTAGGGGTATAAAAATAGTACTTGCTCTCTTATGTTGATGATATAATATAAGACTACGCTTCAACAAGTGTGGCTTCAACGATATTAATATCTAGTTTGAGTTCTATAATCACAAATAGACATCTTCATAATGTACAATACTGTATATCAGTTACGGGCCTTCATGACAAAACTGATTGTTGTTCACTTTCACTTAACTTTTTTTTTTTTTTACTTTTCACAAATACTGTATCATACTATGTTACTTCATCGTTTATAAATTCACTAATCACCTTGTTATTTGTAGCCTGTCACTGATATTCGTTCTTATTTTGGATCTAGTGAAGGTTAGGAACCCTAGCTTATGTCACCCTAAATGGGGGGCTACTGTAGGTTAGGTTAGGTTAGGTTAGCATTTTAGGGTGTTTTAGTTATCATGTGACACAAACTGGGTTTCATAATTTTCATTATATTTATTTTGTAGCCTTTTCCCTCTATAATCCAATACTATTCCATAATTCCAACTAATTAACATTTTAGTCACGTTAATGTGATTACCTTTTCTTCACAATATTTTTCTTAGGTGTCATGAAGATTAGGAACCGCTGTTTATTTTACTTGATAATTAAAGAATCAGATATTCTATTTTTTCCCACGAGGAAGTAAGAATTATCAGGAAGATTCTGAAGATGACGAACACTTTTGCCAGGGAATGATGCACCTGAATTCCTAGAAGACAAAATGAATGAGTAAACCTGAGTAATCTCACCACAACAAAATTACTTACCGTAAAAAAAGAAGACTGCCGAGTCATATCCGCTAACGTAGAATTGTACATGTTTTCTGGCCTGTTGTCTCGGGAATAATAAAAAACACATTATTACTGACAGTATAATAATGTGTACATAATGTTACGGCCTATAAACGCGAAATTTCTTGAATGTGAAATTTTTAAAGGAACTTGACCCACAACAAATTGGCGTCCCTGGGTGGAAGGGGAAGATGTACAGTACAAAAGACGGTGATAATATAATGTTCTTGGCCTGAATATAAAATATATACCATACAGAATTGATCTCACATCTTCAGTTTCACCAGTATCACCTTATATCAGAATTGTCTAAAGCGTTTTGTCGGTGCAAAGGTGTGATACATCTTTTAGAGTTAACAAGTGGCCCGTCGGCAACTCAGACAGTGGGGCAACACACTGACTTGAGGAAACTTACTGTATGGTTGGGCTGTCCTTTTTGTCCTTGGTCACCACACAGCTGTTACTGTGTGTGTGAGTCAATTTTGAACCACTTAGACTATTCATCAGTGTTTGGCCAAATATAATATTAAAAGTTGACGTCCCGCACTGAAAGGATTAAAGGGTTGATACACGTATTCAATGCTCACACAATCACACATAGCCAGATGATGTAGGACTATTTCTTCTTTATAGTCTCAGTGGTATTGCGACGTCATTTTGCCCTCCAAGTTTAAGTGGCAACTTAAAAGACAACCAGTTAGATACATCCTCGCTTCACCAGTTTCGGGGAAAAATGACGAAGGAACAATTGAGACTCGAAAGTGAGCTGCCTACACCACTACACGTCTACACTATCTCTTGTGTTGTCCCACTGCGATAAGTAATGCCTAGTTATACCTGTGATAATTAATAACTGCTGCAGGTGTAACCAGAAAATATAATTCTACTGAATTTAGTGATGCCGGCAGCTCAATCTACGGTTCACTCGCCCTATTCTACTGTCCCCTCAAAATCCTGAGGCAAAATAACTTAGGCAGATTTAATTTTTTTCCTGTTTACGTGAGACATTTAATATTGCTGGTAACTTTGCTGGGTGAAGAATCAAGTGAGTTTTCAGCCGCCTAGCGAGTGTTGGAGTTCCAACGCTCATCATGTAAGTAATAACGATAAACAAAAATAAGTCCTGTGATTTTATTTTGTTTACAACAACCTAAACAAAAAATAAGTCAACAAAAATTTATCTGACAGCTACAGCAAAATTAAATATATATAATATTTGTCCTCCACCAACCCAGCAGCAATATTTAAGAAAACTCTTTTTATCCTCGCGTGTGTCCCTGTCTTTGTGTGACCAATAGTTGAGAACACGACAACTCTAATAAGAAGGGATTTAACCCAACTCACTGTGGATGTATTTTAGTAATACCTCACATGAGTTAGATAATCAACATTTAATGTCATTATTATCCAGAGATACGGCCCCCCTGACTGTTGTGGTCTGACAGGGACTGTCTCAACTACTAATCTTGTGTTTGTTGGAAAGCTCGGCTAATGGCGCACATCACGCAGACAGGTATTACAAGCCGGGTTGATAACTTTACACCTACTGCACACCACAGCCTCTAATGGTAGCCAGCATATGATGAGTTAGCTGCTGTGAGAGTGCAAGAATTTCAGAGTTACAATGTAGCTGCATTTGAGAGTTCGTGTTAATGGTGTTGAAGCTAAAGTCTTTTATGATATGATCGTGAAGAGTTGAGAAGACACTTGGGTTTGTGGCTCCATTCTTTGGTTTGTCAGACAATTTTGCGGACAATATCAACTTTCGCTAAAACGTTCTCCACCATTATCCGACGGTGTACATTTTGTATAAGAAAAGTGACACATGTTTTCTCTGCTGTCCGAAAAAAAGTGAAAACTGGAGAGCCTCATTTGCAGCATTAGTTTGCATTTATATAATACACAGTCTCACCTAACACACTGCTCATCTGTCTATTGCAACGTGAACATGGAAAGTAAATTCTAGTCTAGACAGAACATTTCCTGCCAATCGACGCAGATTGTAATGCGGTAGTATATTTAGTTAAGTTAGGCTTAATCAGGTTAGATACAGGTAAGCGGGTATTTCTAATCGCCATGATATCCCACCATCCATACTGAGTAAAGCTTGGTAATATTCGCTCCACTACTAAAAGAACTTCACCTTCAACAAAATTCTATGCATCGTTCAGAAAGTATTTACTGGCGACTTTCGAACCATGTTTACCCAGCATAAAATATATAATGATAAACTAGAGCCAGAAACTCTCTCTTTAAACTGGGGTTGGTCGACCTCTCACCTGCCCCCCAGGAAAACGTCGACAAGGTGATCCTTACTTTCTCTGTCTTAAATATTAGTTGAACGACATGGACGACACGGTAGTTTGTATGTATCATTAAAACACACATTTAAAAGTAGAATATAACATGTTAGAATTTCCTGAAAAAATAGTTACGACATACGTGTACCAGCTGACAACAGATCTTCCCAAGTGAGCCGTTAAAAGTGTACTATTTCAACAATCTTCTGCCATAATAACGTTCCTCTACCTCTATTAAAAGTCGAAAAATTCTAAACACTGGTAAAGTTCTTGAGGTGACATAAATAGAGGGAGTCTTGACTTTCTTGGGCAACAAAGTCCTATACTATCACAGTGATCTGCCGTTGTTATGCAGTAATGTAATACCGAGCGTCAACAACTATGATCTTTAACAGCGTTTTCTAGTCAGTAATTACGCAAGTTATCAACAATTACAAATTTAAATGAGATGCAACTCTTTTTCTTGTTATTCAAATACGAGGAGTTAAGAAGAGGCCCAATGATGACGTGAACGACGGCAGTGTTGATGTTCAGGTTTATGTAGAGTGACGGTAATCGCTGG